GGGGGGGGGGGGGGGGGGGGGGGGGGGGGGGGGGGGGTCCGTGGACTGTATGGAAGGTGCGCCGTGTGAATTTTCTCGCCATCGCTATTTATCTTTAGAAACATATATCTTTAGAAATTATTAACAAACTCACAGAAAGACTACCCGTTCGAGATATAAGCACAGCAGTCGAAAGGCATGTATGTGCTGAAGTCTTTTCAGGGAATGGAGGGAAACCGGTTTGAAACTGGACTTATTTTAAAGTTTGTTTAAGCCTGTACACTGAACTATTCCAGTGATACCCCTTAGCGCTATTTTTCTTTGGGGGCGGAGGGATTCCGACATGTACATGTCCTCACAACGACGGTGATACTGTTGTGTTCGTTTCTTTTCGTGTGGTGTACTATTAATGACAAGCTTCTCCTTGAGCTATTTAGTTCAACCGTGAGGTCTTGTGGTGGCGTGCATCGCAGGTGCTTTGTGGTGCGAGTGCGATTCGTCGTCGTTGTATGCTTTGGGGAGGGGGTCCGTACAAGCCAGTCTGCCAACGTTTGTATGCTTTCACAACGACGGTCATAGTGTTCGTGTTGTGTTTCTTGTCGTGTGTTGACGGGTGGACAACTTTTCCAGACATGTTCCACATAGTCCTCGCTTATGTATCTGTTCTCCGTTGCCCTGACTGCGGGCATACTCGCTTCATTTTTTATGTCTTTCATCAAAATTTCAACCATGTTTTTTGTAAGCCAGTGTTCCGACGTTTGTATTCTTTCGCAACGACGGTCATAGTGTTCGCGTTGTCTCTTGTCGTGTGTTGACGGGTGGACAACTTTTCTGGACATGTTTCACAAAGTCCTCGCTGTTCGTAGTGTTGATTCGTGTCTTGTGGCTTATCTGTCTGTTCTTGGTCGCCCTGACTGCGGTCATGCTCGATTCATAAATCTGTTTTCATGTCTATCAATGTTTCAACCATTTTTTTTCGTTTCCTTCTCTCCGAGCCAACACCAGTGTTTGCTTTCTTTGTTTGTTTTTGTGTTTGATGCCTCCGTGCAACCACTCCCCACCCCGGCGGGCCTATTCTCGTTTGTTAAGGTGGTGATCCTGATGGCGATGGGGTACTACCAAGTGCGACACCTCAAGAGTTTCTTCAAGTCCAAGCGGCTCGTCTAGCCCACTAAAAGTCGTTCTACACTGCTTTTATACCCAAATACTGTGCATGCACGAAGTCAAGCATTGCGCCGCCATAAAAGCAGAAGGAAAGTCGCAGGGGTTAACGTGCAGCACGGGAGGCCCGCGAAAAGACAAGGCTTTTAAGTGAGATCGACGAAATCCGATGGTATTTCAACATGTAACGTACAGCGGAGGGAGAGAGAGTAAGATGGATCAGCATCACACGAGCTTGCAAAAATGTTGCTGGTCTACAGATAGGGCCGCACTTGAAGAACCTCTTGTTTTGGCCGAAGCCCGTTTCTTGATTTTTCTATGGGGTACCCATCCCCCACGGCGACGATTTGGTTTTGGTGTCGGCTTCTTGACTGAGGAGCGCCTCTTCTTATGTTCTTACGTCAAGTTCTGATTGGCACGTGTGATAGATGACGCCATCAGGTTATGGATGACGATGCACAACGACGAGGCTCAAGTCCTTAATTTTCAAGTCTTCGAGCGCGGGCCGGTTCTTCTGCATCAGCTGTTTTTTCGATTGAGATGTGACCGCTGGGTGCTGGGCGTGAAATTCTTGATCGCCAGATACATAGCAGTCGGTAAAGTCCCCGCACCATCAGTGCCGCCCGCCGGGGGTTGGTAATTGCACGGTAGTTAGTCGTAGCGTTGGTCGTGCAAGAGCGGGCCGGATGATTTCCTGGAATTGGTGCCTGCTCATGTGGGCTCGAACCGAACTGGAGAAGACAAGGGTTAGGAAATATAAAAAAAAAGCACAGAAAGACTACGCGTTCGAGATATAACCACAGTGGTCGAAGGGGATGTGTTGAAGTATTTGCAGTGAGTGGAGGGACGCGGATCAAAAACGACGGAGGCACCAAAAGAAATACTACAAAAGATCGGAAATAATGGCATCATTTTTGGACACCGTCCCTCCTCTCAGTATTCTGCCTTCCGTGGGCACGATCTCGCTTCTCTTCATGATGTACCCAAGCTTTTGTCCCAACCCTTGCTCGGCGATGCGGTACTGCACCATAGGTGATGTAAGATACCACCTTCCCTCTGGGACCTTGTTTCAAAGTTGGGATTTTTCTCCACAGCATAAAGACTGGCAGAGTTGAAGCCGTCTTCATCGAGAACTTTCCGAAAACGTATCGTTTCATGCATGCATCATCTTCGTCGTGGAGTAATCGAGCTTTGAAATCGATCCAGGGGGTGTATTATTTTGTGTCACACACAGTACTCACGGGCGCGTCAGCAGCGCTACTTGAGGACTTGCGACTCGTCGATGAGTTGCTACGTCCTGGTGTTTCGATTACCATGTGTTTTTTCAACTATGAGGGTTGTTGTTGTTGTTGTTGTTGTTGTTGTTGTTGTTGTTGTTGTTGTTTCTCACATTAGCTCTAAAAAAAAAAGATTGGGAGCCCGTGGTCTCAAAACCCGGCACATACGACGCCGCGGGGAAACAAAACAAAAATAGGGTACAAACCACTCGGAAAAAGAAAACAAAATGATAGAAAGAAAAGAACAGGTATCGTACCGACCGTTCGAGAAAAGAGCCCTCGGAAACCGATCAAAATGAAAACATTAACAAAAATAAAAATAAAAATTAGGAGGACGCTTCCCACACCAGCCTAAAAAATAAATAAAAGGGTAACGTACCAGCACCAGGCACTACAGTTGTGCTTTTCTTCTTTTTTTCTTTCTTGTTCTCCATGCCCTCTCTACGATGATCTTGGACGATACCTCGAGCTCCTTGTTATTTTTGTTTTTTCCTTTGCTGGCTGCCTGCCACCTCTGCTGCCTCTTTGGTGCGGTGCCTACCCTACACTAATGCGCTGGTGCATACTGCACTGCTGTAGTACCTGGTACTGGTGTACGTTGTCCTTCGATTTTTTATTTTTTTTGTGGGAATATATATGTGTTTGTTTTTCGCCCCCCGTCTTGCTGCACCCCCTGGGGTGTGGTGCAGGGCGGGGGATGCCTGGTCGGCGGGAACCCGGCACGGAACCCTCCGGCGTTGTAGGCGGGTGTGGGAAGCGTACCCCGTTCTCCTTTTATTTTATTTTGATCGGTCTCCTCGACGCTTTTTCTCGTTTGGTGCGGTAGCTGGTCTTTCTATCATTTTGTTTCTCTTCCGAGTGGTCTTTGTACCCTATTTTTTTTTGTTTCTTCGTGGGGTCGTGTATGCCGGGTTTAGAGCTAATGTGAGAAACAACAACAAACAACAACAACTACGTACTAGGGCATGGGAGTAACGGAGCAATCAGGACAAATAGGCGGCAGATGGGCAGACAGCCAGACGTACAAAAACAAAGGCAACAGCAAAAGCGAGATCAAGGTACCCGACACAACAGAGTAGTCTAGGCAGGGAGGTCATGAAAAAAAGAAACACAGCACAGAGGCCGAAGGCAATACAAAGGACATACATGAAGGAGTAAGCAGTAGGGAGGGAAACAGGGCGCAACAACATCAGCCGGGTATATAGTTCGCCACAAGTGCTTCCTCGGCCACCCTACTCGCTTCTACAGCAGTGCCCGGTCGCGGGTGTCTCAGCCCGTACGCGTTCATTTTACCTTTCGTTCAATATTCATGTGCAACTCTTCGACGAGTTTCGCCGGTGTTTGAAGCTTTGCTTGTATTTTTTACGGAAGCCGCAACTGCTTAGTCTACTACGGTAACACTTGAGCACAAGACACAGCAAGAACTGAAGAATGAAGATGTCCAAGCAAGTAAACATGAAAGCAAAAATCGCCTCGATGTAGTTCTCCCCGATGGCCTGACAGGGCCTGAAATACATGTTGGTCGTGTGGGCTGCAAGCGGCACCGGCAGTTTGCCCCGCGGCGGCGGCGGCGGCGGCGGCGGTTAGACTAATTCCACTTTACGTTCCATATGGGCGCTTTTTACTTTTTTCGTGTTCGAAGTTCTTTCCCATGACCGATGGCTTCTATTCTTGAGAGGCATTGGCAGTGGTTTGTTCCCTAAAACCCTAACCCTCACCCTAAGGCGGAATGGAGAGGGTCAAGGCAGGACTTTTGAGAATCCCGCTGCAGAGACAGCCGCGGTGAGCGTATATTCGTAACCCATGGATTGCCAGAGAGAACCACAGTCCGAGCATCGCTATCTCCCTCAGCCGCCGTGAGTGCTTTCACTACAACAAACTAGCGCAGCAGTGGGGGCCTCGGTTTAGCGACCCCCTGTTTAGCGACATGCCCTGTTCAGCGGCCACAAACTCACGTCGCACGCTGCACCCCGGAGCATAGCTGCTAATCGTTGGTAGTTCGGTTTAGCGACCTGCCCTGCATAGCGACCACATATCGTCGTGACACTGGGGGTCGCAACAATAAACCGGGGCCTAGTGTGATCGTGGCATGTCCTGTTTACCGCCAACGTACAGTAGTAAGGCCGAGATGAAATCGACCGCCCTTTGCTGCCCAAAACGAGCACCCGATTCAACGTTCCCAAGAGAGATAAAAAGAATGTTTTTTCTATTGGTACCACACCGCGGTGCCTGTCTCCGGGCAACAAAACAAAACTCCTCTACAAACGACAATAAAAACGAAAAACGCTCCAAAAGACCGAACACAAGAAAAGCTTTCCAGATCTGCGCAACTTCCAGACTTTCGCAACACAGGGAGAACGTCATCCGACAAATTGAGGTGCGTGTGGCGAATCGAACCCGCTGCAAGCACAAGACGCTTGTCACAACAACGCCAACATCTAAATGCCGTCTAAACTAAGGACGGAGCGAGAGGCCGAGGCCGAGGCTGTCATGGCCACGGCTGCTGCTGCTGCTGCTGCTGCTGCTGCTGCTGCTGCTGTTGCTGTCCATGCATCATACTTGTCTCTCTAACCATCGCGAGTCGCGTTCGGTACTGCTGTCTGCTACCAACGCTACAAAGGGGGCAGCTAACTCATACTGCCCTCAGGAGGACCTCCCAAATAACCAAAACATACCCAAGACCATGGCAGTTGCTGGCCGTGCCCGCAACAGCAGTGTCATCATTCCCGACGACGGCAAACGGCAGTCGTGACTTGACTTGTATTGCCTAACTACAAATTGGATTTCTGCCGCGGCTGAAGTCACGACTAGCCTCTCGTCGAGAAATGGAACTGGGGAAGCAGCCGTGGCCAACGGCAATCTATATATATAATAATTTTTGTACACGATACCTAGAGTACTAAGCGGGACAGCCATAAAACTCGGAACGTCTCACTCCTTTAACTCGGATTTACCACAATCACACCGGACATCGCAGCCGCCAACTTAGATACCTGAGTCTCAAGACCCCCAACGATAGGCGTTTGTCTAACGGAAGGTCTTGTAGCGATCCCCCCCCCCTCCCCCTCTAACGGCATTGGCAAACTCCCCCACCCGACACCACCCCACCCCACCCGTTCGTTCCATATATCCGCCCCAACCGGCTCCGGCTCATGACTTTCGTGCACTCGCCGCTGATCTCGTTCCCCGTCCGCGCTGCCGCACCCTGCGGCGGCGACTCGCCGAGAGCGACGAGTGCTGATGGCTCCCGCGCTCCCTGTTGCTTCGCAGCGGCGTCATCTAACTCCCTCCGCGGCGCAGATATACCACAGTGACCACCTTGGTGTGGTTAATGGCCATCTCGCTATTCTAACGCCGATGATCCCCCCACCAAGCCTGATGTCCGGTCGTTTGCATCGCCGGCGGCAATATCACCTGGCGGCTGACCGTTGTCAACACCACCGGTGTTCCTTCCACCCTCCGGCCTTGTTTCGAGGTTCGCTGGCCCCGGTAGTTCTGCCGGCTCCTGATCTCGCGGCGCTTGCAGCAGCCCCTCCTGCGGCGTTTCCATTCTTGTGGTACTGCTCCCGTCGACGCGGAAAGCCTGCTGGAGCGGGAGTTCTGCTGTCGCCCCTCTCGCTGGCGCTTGCCCTTCTCGTTGCTGTCGCTCCGACGCGTCTCCCGAATTATTAACAAGATGCTCGGGGGGTCCCACGCTGCCTGCTGTTCCCTCCGGCCCGTGTGACCTTGCAGCAATCGCAGCAGACACAGGAGATGCTGCATCGCCAGCTAGCGGTTGCGCCGCCGCCGCCGCTGGTTGCGTTGTTGTGTTGACATGTTGGTTGTTGGCACCTACAACCAAGTCTCCAATCGGACCGTCAGCGGCGCCACCATCGACAGCGACGGGAGCAGCGGTACCTACCAACGCCTCGACGGAGGGTGCTCCATCCCCGCTAGCAGGAGGCTTGTCCGGGAGCACTAAGGGGGGGGGGGGTCCCTCCTCGTCGCCTTCCTCCTCCGTTTCCCCCTCCTCCTCATCGTCCACCGGATCGAGGATGTCAAACACTCCCGATCGTTCCATCGCACGCATCACTCCGACAACTGCTTCAATTGTTTCCCCTGCAACGGCGAGCGCCGGCTTGTCCTAAAACACCACAGCAAACGGTGGAGGGAGGGACAGAGAGCGGCAACAGAGGCATGGACGAAACCATCACGCGAAATGCCGTGTCAAAGTGCATGGTACCCACACCCGGTGGGAAAAGGGGCCTCGTACACTCGCCCGAATGAAAGGTGTGCGAGCAGCGGGGGATTTTTCCAACCCGGACGTACGTTGCAGCCGTGGCTCCCCGCAGTGGTACAGAAGGCACACGCCTTGTCAGCACATCGGAACTGCTAAAAGCCACCGGCAAGACTCTCCAAGAGCAAAGCAAATTCCTTGTTGCTGCTCTACCACATGCTAGCTGCTTGCGGCCGGTTCGGGAGGTCGCGCTAACGTGCAACAGCAGCAACAACAACAACAACAACAACAACAACGACGACGACGACGTCGACGACAGCGACGACACTACTACCAACAACAACAACGACAACAAACATAACACGACTAGGACAACACCAACACACACTACAACGACACAACGACAACGACGATACCCACAACAGCGACAACAACCACGATCAAAAGAACACATCTCTCTTCAGCCCCCCCCCCCAACCAACAACGTGGCGCCCAAGAATAAAACGTCCACAGCACACACATAACACACCTCCGCGGGCGCCTCCTGAGCCGCCACCGATAGGTGCACGCTAGTCTTCCCGAGGTCTTCGCACGACAGCCCGAGCTCCAGAAGCTTCCTGTGAACGCCCCCCGCCGCCTTCAGCGCGATCTCCAGCGCGTCCTCAAGTTCTCCTAGAAGTCGGAAATCGGGATACTGCGTGTGCATCACATGCTTGATATCTACTCTGCTGCAGTTCGGGCCGTGTTGAACTCATAGCTGTTCATGCCGTAGTCGTCAAGACCTCGCATTCCTACAAAGCCGGGACGAAGCATTCCGGGCTCTCGCCGGACCAGGGCCGAGGGAGGTGCTTCATTCTGTTCTTTCAATGTGAAAATATACTTGTCTTTGGAGGAGTACACAATACGCACGCACGCCGTGGGTGTGGTGGTGACTCTTCCCCTTATCTTGGCCTCGCTTCCCCAATCGCACAGCGCACAAAACTAGTCCCGCCGGCAGATGCATGGAACCTTTTGCGGTGGTCCTTCAAATACTGCAAGAGGCGGAGAGATGGCACCCCCCCTCCAATTGTAGACCGATTTGCAAAGCTCGATCTCTTGCTCCTCAACCAAGGTTGTGCCAACACCGAAAATGGTAATTTCGGAAACACCTCGTCGAGGGCTTTCGGTACACGTATCTGGCTCTTTTCCGCACCCTCTTGGTTGTGGAGCAATCAATTGAGCATTACAGTCAGTCCAGGGGGGGTGCTATCTCCCCGCCTCTTATGGTACGCGTGTCTCTGTGGCTAAGACAGTACCGGCCCGCTATGGCATGCCCACGTGTGAGATAACGGGCCCTCTTGTTGGCCTCATCTCTCTCAGCAATGCGGGATAACTTGCTTGTGTTCTCGAGGTGGCCTTATACCACTCTCCTGTTTCTTCTCTGCGTTCTATATCCATCTGGACTGTCTACGCACAAAATGCAAGTTTATTACGAGAAAAATACCAGGGAGGGGGCACGCAAACTAACCCTAACCCGAACCCCAACTGAGCCGATTCAATACTTCATCCAGCATGTTTGCTTACTCAGAGAAACCTGCGTAGACTACTAGACTTTCTCTATCTGGTGGGACAATGACTGCTACTGCATGTTATAAACTCATTTCCTCCTTGACTGCTGTCCAGCAGTCTAGGCTAAACGGCCTGAGGTCACGAACAGTTGTCACCTATTCGCTTCACAGCTTCTCGTCGGCCTTCGGCGAAAGCTTCCCTGTCTTGAGCAATCTCGCGCACTGCCGCCTCCACCGCATCTCGCTTGTACTGCAACAGAAACCACGATAGACAAACGATTCGCTGTCCTTGATCAGCTGCTACGGATGAATTGGAAAATTTGCAAGTATGTCGAGAACACTCACAGGACCAAGCGTCCTCGGAGCAGATGGGAGAGAGAAATCGATACCACGTGTGGCTGCTTGACCCTGCGCTGTCTTGTGATGACGGTATATCGTAAACACGCGAGTGAACACAAAGGTGAGAGTGATCACACAGGCCGCAGCGATAACACTGCAGTAGGGGCGCGGAAAACCAGCAAGTATGACACGAAGCCGTGGCAAACCCCGAGCTACAACGGTTTGAGTCTTCATCTCGCGATGTGTCAACATCGGGGCTTCGCAGCTGCGTGTATAGCAATGTGGCGGTGCGCATGTAGAAAAGAGGAAATTCTTCGTTGGAATCGGGGCACAAACTAGGGCTAGGCCGCTCAACCAAGCGCGAAATACCCTCACGTGCCATACCTCAGTGACCTACGCCACGACCAACAGCATCGTGCTTCGGTCTGTGCACCCTGCCACAACCAAAGTTGCGTTCCATGTACATATGTGCATGGTTTCTTGCTACTACAGTAGCAAACACCGCGCTAACTGGGTGACCAACGTGTGAATGTGTAAGATGTGTGCTCATGCATGAAACGCTCGCACGTTCCTCCTGCGGGAATAACCTGTCCGTTCGCGCCTGCCTGTTACGCGTTCACGCGGGTACTTCAACGGCGGTACCACGCTGAAGTGCAGCCCACCAAGACAAAAAGACGTTGCGCGTGCTGCGTTACTTTGCTGCAGGCAACTCTGTTGCGGCAGTGGTGCTCGCTGCATCACACCTGTTCCGCGGTTTGCTCCGCTCTTGTGCTAGCCTCGAAGACTGCCAGGCGCAACGCGGCAACCTGTTTTGCCGTGCAGCGGGACCGAATGAGGGAGACTTCAAGATCAATGTTGGGCCGACTACACACCACACCCTGGACAATAAACAATACAGTCAACGCATATCGATACGTTCCTATCGTAATACGTCGCGTACTGATGGCTGTAATACGCATTGACGTTTTTCTTGCGAGGGTAGCGTTCTGGGAGTATGCATCGATTGGCAGTTCGTGAATCTACCTCTGGCTTGATTACGGTAGCATTTTTTTTCAAAACATATTGCAACGACCAATCGGTATTGCTCCACATCTTGGAAAGTGCTGCACGGGTCAATATGACGTAATGCAATCAAGGTTTCCTTTACTAAACGTACTTTCCAGTATTTCAGTAAGTATAGGGCCGTACTGTACTTTACTGGGTGTTTGGTACGTCTCTCCACACTGTACTAAGTGCAATAGTACCTTTAGTACAGCTCTCAATACTGTACTGTACTATGGGTGTAGTGCGGCTCTCGGTACTGTTCTAGGCGCGTTTAGTACAGCTCTCCATACCATACTCAAAACAACAGTACGTTTGGTACAGCTCTCCATACCATACTCAAGGAATAGTACGCGTACGCTACAGTACTACTCTACTAAGACGGAGGTACGGGGCGAGGGAGCATCGGGGGGGGGGGGATCCAAGCAGCGTGTACTATGTTTATGTGTATGTTTATNTTTACTGGGTGTTTGGTACGTCTCTCCACACTGTACTAAGTGCAATAGTACCTTTAGTACAGCTCTCAATACTGTACTGTACTATGGGTGTAGTGCGGCTCTCGGTACTGTTCTAGGCGCGTTTAGTACAGCTCTCCATACCATACTCAAAACAACAGTACGTTTGGTACAGCTCTCCATACCATACTCAAGGAATAGTACGCGTACGCTACAGTACTACTCTACTAAGACGGAGGTACGGGGCGAGGGAGCATCGGGGGGGGGGTGATCCAAGCAGCGTGTACTATGTTTATGTGTATGTTTATGTTCAACTGAGAGTGCTGTTGCAGGTGCTTCATGCATATGCATAGACTATTTCATGTACGGCTCTCGGTACTGTACTAGGTGCAAAAGTACGTTTAGTAGGGCTCTCCATAGTACTAAACAAGCGCAATATACAGCCTTCCATACTGTACTCACAACAACAGTACGTTTGGTACAGGTCTCCATACTGTTATTTACTGGGGTTCAGTACGGCTCTCCGCTGTACTAAGCGAAACAGTACGTTTAGTCCAGGTCTCCATACTGTACTCAAAACAAAAGCACATTTAGTACAGTACCCCATACTTTTTTTTTTTTCTCCCATCATTGGACTCTGTCGTCTGCCCCCTTTGGCTCCTATCCTCCACTTCTACTAGCTAGACGACCCAACCGGGGTCACAGAGGAGGGGGGGGTTGGACCCCCTCCTGCGGTTCCTGCCTGAGGTATTTTTATCGCGAGAAGGGTACAGCAATCCCTTCCCTCGCGACTTTCGAAGTCGATTACTGTACTGTACTGAGTACAGTACTCAGCCCTCCCATACTGTAGTGTACTGGGACATTAGTACGGGTTTCGATACTGTACTAAGCATACCGGTAGTGTACAAAAGGGAACCTTGCAAAACATCGACGGAAAAGCATTTGGTTCTCACGATATGTATCGATGAGATGTTCAGTGATGTGTTGCTCTTTGCAATGCATATCGATACAAACAAGTTGTTTGTGTACTGCTCTCCCGATATATATCAATGTATTGTATTTGGTACACAGTATGTATCTGTGGGTATGACCCGGTACGTTCCCACTGTCGCTCCCCCAAGTGTACTGATTTTAGTATAAGTCCATTATTAAAGGATTTGCTATGGAATGCACAATATATTGCATTTAGAGTAGTGGTGGCCATGTGTGGGGCTGTACCATTTCCCCCATTGATTGCCCTGACCATTCGTTTTGTCGATTAATAAATGGGTAGAGCACGAGGAATGGTGGCCCATGTAGTGTGGGCCGAGGGTGTGGCCCGTACACCCTGGATACTTAGGCTAATCGAACATTGTCTAATAGTATAGTTGAAATTTCGATAGTCGATGCGTATTTACAGTAATCAACATGATGGTTCCTGGTGCATCGATATGTACTATTGTGAGCAACGATACATTGACACAAAAGACGCAACACATTTTTGCTCCCGCGATAGGATAAACTTCAAGTCTTCGATATGTATCGCTTGGACCAGCACGCTTTCAGTTGTTCGTCGATGGATATTGCAAGGTGAGATATGTTTTTACCGAATTCGATTGATACATGTTGGAGCAACAATACGTTGATGATCGTAGCGATCAATATCTCTCTATCGTTCAAACACTATGTTGATACATATCGCACGCTGCAACTATTTTCAACGCGAAAGAAAACATGCCCCCAAAACTTTTTCGCGCTCCGCGCGCGAAATTAATTTCATGCATGAGCAGAGTTACTGTTAACGCCATGGGGGACGAACCAACACAAACGAACAGACGTATCGATTGCCTGGCACGCATATTGATCGATACTTTCCGTCTGTGTTGAGTCATGCGATATCAATTGATACCATTTCCACGAACGAACACGTTGCTTGAACCAATAGAATATATGTTGATATAATTTCTCCCAATATATTAAACCAAACGATATCAAAAGATACCGATTGTATATAGTAGATATATCTTGGTAGCAATACAATATGTAGTGGAAGATATTCTCCCGTTGCATTGATCCCACCATTACATGTCGATTCCAATTTATGTATGTAGAATATATTGATTGGAGAAATATGTAAGTATCATAATGTCCAGGGTGTGCTTACACGCACACATAGTTACGCTGGGTGGTATAGCAACCATGTTCGTCCACACCAGTGCAGAAAAATACCGGGGAGTACGCAAGACGATTCCGTGGCCTGGGTCGTGGATCAATAGCGTTCACCATTTGTCGCGCGGGCGTTCACCGGCCGGTACCATGACATAATGCCCGCGCGAGACTCGGAGCAACCAGTCCTAACCCGCGTGATGTCTGCCGTCTACAGGAGCTCCTTCGCACAACTAGCATTTAATGGACACATAGACTACGCTACCGCCGAGGTACACCAAAATTGGCTTGGTACCCTCTGACTGCAAGCGCCATGTACGGCTGCTGTTGAGCTATGCCCCAAGCAGCCTTATTTCACCGTACAGAGCAGCCAGGTGTTGCCCTAGCAAGGAGACACGTACCGTTGCAGCAGCAAGCCAACTGCAACAACAACAACGGTTGGTTGCATCACCCCACCACAATTCCGGACCTGCTGCGCCATGGCCTCGCGCTCGCTTTCCATCCCGTCGATCTTAGCGGTCAGCTGCTGGATCTTCTTGCTCTGGGCCACCAGCGTCCTCTTCACCAGTAGCTTGTCGTTGGCGCCCTGCCCGGTTTGCTGCGCTCCGGCACCGTTGCCGCGCAGGGACGATGCTGCTGTTGCCCCTTCCGCCTTGGGCGGTTTACCCCCATGAGCGCCGGCTTGTCTGTCTACCAAGCTCACGTACGGAGATGGCATTGACCGAGAGTGCTCATCGCCCTCGTCGTGCGCTCCTGCCTGCGCCATGCTCGCTCTCTCTCTCCTTGGCGGCGCGAGCACTACGGCGTCCGTGATGTGTGAACACTGCTGTGCGAGCCCGAGCGGGGATGGCGGCGCGACTCAGGGGGTGCGCAGAATGGAACTACTGGGTACTAGGTGTGGAGCGAAAACCCGCCGCAGGCGAGACTACTGTTGTTTATGTAATAACTCACAAACAAATCTTGATCTTGATTCTTCAAAACCTTGGCAAGATCAAAGCGACCCCCCCCCAAATCAAGATTATTGCATTATTGCATGTACAGTACGTGTGTATGGAAAACTGCATCTTGATCTTACTTGCGGGTTGTGGACACCTCGATAGACAAAATCAGCGAGTGCGACCTGAGTTCTTGACGTATCGCTCCCATCAAGGGCTCCGACGAACCCTATGGTGAAGGGTTTGCTGTTCTGCTCGCTGGTTGTTGGTTGTCGGTCGGGACACGAGCGTTAAAAAAATCATTTCGCATCACACCAAACGTGGAGACTCCCAAACGTCACGAGAGGGCAAAAAAGCCGGAAAAAGCCCGCGTTCTGACAGAGGCGCGACAACAGCGCAATTGATTTCTCGCTCCCTAGGCCACCGATTGACGCCAAACCGGTCAGGGTGTGCTCTCCGTTCCTTTCTCTCTCTCGAAGTGGCGTGGCTCAGGCGCTCGCAAGCTCAATCGATGGAGAGAGAATTGTGCGTGGCGTCACTTTGCTTTTTCGATCTGATTTTTTCGCCCTTGTTATTCACTCGCGAATAGACTAACTTGTTGAACACCTGAAAACTTTTTTCAACGGATGGCGTGCGCACACGCAGACAACGATTTCCGTCGATTGAGCTTACGAGCTCCTGAGCCACGCCACTTCGAAAGAGAGAAAGGAACGGAGAGCACACCCTGACCGGTTTGGCGTCAATCGGTGGCCTAGGGAGCGAGAAATCAATTGCGCTGTTGTCGCGCCTCTGTCAGAACGCGGCTTTTTTCCGGCTTTTTTGCCCTCTCGTGACGTTTGGGAGTCTCCACGTTTGGTGTGATGCGAAATGATTTTTTTAACGCTCGTGTCCCGACCGACAACCAACAACCAGCGAGCAGAACAGCAAACCCTTCACCATAGGGTTCGTCGGAGCCCTTGATGGGAGCGATACGTCAAGAACCCAGGTCGCACTCGCTGATTATGTGGACGGTCTGGAACGGTGCGGCGCTATTGACCCCCCCCCCTCGGCAAGATTTTGACAAGGCTGCCAGCGCCCAAATCTTGGCGAAATATTTGGGCAAAAGGGGGCTCGTTGGTTTCATTCCAAATCTTGCCAATATTTTGAGGCAAGATTTGGACTCCATAACAAGTGTACATCCGAGATATTTCTCGAATCGACCCCCCCCCCTACCAAAAATCAAGATTAAGATTGAGATTCCGCCACCATAAACAGTGGCCTGAGCCTAGCCATCTGCTGGCAGTCTTTGCAAGGGAAATTCCTGAAGGATACAAGTACGATCCCACCGCGGTGGTGAAATATCTTTCAAATATCCAAAGACAAGAAGAGTGTACCCCCCGAAGCTGCACATGACAGCCATCATTCTGCGTGGCCGGCTCGAAGAAAAAGAAGGAGCTGTACTGAGAACAACGGGAGGGTGCATGGTTGGTGAATGCCAGCCGTAAGAGGTGTGGCCCTTCCGGGCTCCGTCACCTTGCCAAAGTGTAGTGAGGAGCGCCAGCATGAACATGGCGGAGTTCTGAACCGCGCGAAAGACAGTCTTCGTAAAAAAAACCATCACGGCGGTGCGGCCGTGTGTGTTCACAGTCCACCGCAAGAACTATACCTGCCCACGGCACAAGATACCGTGGTCATGCTAGACATGGGGTGTTGATCTCAACAGCTTCTTTGGTTGTTATCATCATGAGAGTATAGTCTAGTCTGTAGAGAGCTATATTACATGAAAACTGTGGTGGAGGTCAGGATGTGGAGACTCACGGAGCACGGACACACTAGCCACCACACTCTGGACTCTCCGGTTACCCAGAATAGAGGGCTCCATAGAACCAATCTGCATGTTTTTTTTGCCTTCCTTTAAGCAATGGGATAAATGACGGTGAGCTTTACGCCGGGTTAAACATACCACCCAAAGAACGACCGCTCAAGTTTCCAGGAACCTTGACTGGTTGATTGGTCATTGTGGCATCCAACTTTTTTCGCTCTTTTCTTCGCGGGAAACAACAGTAGTAGCCACACGAGAAACCTCACTACTGTGCCGGCCGGCGAAGTTCTCACTTGCTCCTCGCGACAAGAGCACCATCGTAAACAAAAGGTTGCGAGGCAAAGCCGCACGACTCCCTAACGGCTATGACCTGAGGGTAGGGGTGTTCATTGAGGTGTCCATCGAAGCCCCTATTTCTCGCGGCGGAAGACACACCGTAGTATCCGACACCTGAGATAAACCTGCACAAAACTTCGTTGCAGTGAGTGCGGTGAGGATGTAGGGCGCCTCTCCTGCCATCTACATGTATGTAGGTCATCATGACAGAGTAGACGGGTGCGGCCACTCCGTAGGTTTCGGACACGGCGAGTCGCTTTTCGACGAGCGTCCATAAATTTGGAAGTATAAATATTACATTGTGGTAGCCCCGAAGGAGTGCATTGGCCCATAGGACTTTGACAGGGGAGCTTGCCCTACACGAGCTCCAAACAACCCCGTCACAGGCAACAGCAGTGCCGTCCCGCTCGTACGAACAGCAGGAGGTACCATGCAACAAACGGATCTCGTACCACAGGGCTTGCCCATTCCATCGAAAAATCTTGTCTTCGAGCACCACGATCCCCCACTTGGTAACCGTGCAACTCTTGGGGTGTGGTCCTCAACCCCCCGTCACAACTTGTCTTCGTCGCTCGGCAACTCTATCAAGTCCGCCTCAAACTCCCCTATCTTCTTCTCGGTAAGGCTGCCCTGGATGTTCTTCACCGGACGCAACACCTCCCCGCGTATGTGAGCGTCGGGCCTCTCGAACGCCGGGCCCCCCATGGCCGCCGCGCCGCTTGTATCGACGGTGAGGGCCGTCCCCTGAGCCTCCGCGTCTTGTACGACGTCCCCCCGGTAGAAGAGGGTTGTGCCGTCGGTGAAGTTGACGCTCCATCGTGCGGAGAGCGTTATCCTGGTGGAGGGAACGATGTAGGAATGTAGCTGTCGCGTCAATGGAAAACAGACCGTTGCGTTAGTGGAAAGAGACAAATGCTTTAGGCTCAAGAACAACCGGACCATCATGGAAACAGACCATCACATAAGTGGAAAGAGGTAAAACATGGGCATGGTAACGATTGCTTCAGGCTTGAGCACAACAAAAAGCACGGCAGTCTCACTGCTCTGTTCCCAAATCATCGAGAGGTGTTGCCTTCCCCAAAGAACTTGAGAGGCCTTGATCGTTGGAGGGGAGGGAAGCGTGTGTGTATGGCGGGGGGGCCGGGAGCAAGTATCAACCACACGAAACATTGAGAAGCGCGAAGTATCACAACGCCCATCACCTCGACCAACACGCAAGATGCTGGTCAGGTTGTCAGTGATACAACGAGCCGGACAACGAAGTGTTTCTAAGCACGCCTAAAGGTCCGCCGCGTTGCACGATGCGCTTCCGAGGACGTCAAGTGCGCGTTTTGAAACGCACACGAGCTCTGGTATGCTCTAGTTTTTTTTCAAGTGTAGAAACGTTGAGGTGCACCTTTCTCATGAACAACGACAAACACACACAAACTCAAGCTGCACACCAAGGCCAACGAACGCACCTTCCGTTCACGATGTTCTTGGGCTTGGTGAGCCACCTCCCTTTCCCCTCTCGGTCCCCACACCCCTTGTACTCGACTGTTCCCTTCCCAGCCCCTACGAACCCCTTGAAGGACAGCCGCCCCCCACAGATTCCTTTCCTGCCTAGTCTACCCGCTTCCTGAGGCAGCGAGGAACCGTCGTTCCGGGTCTCGCGGGTTCGCCACAAACCTTGCATACGTACGGCACGCATGTGGGTCAACTTTGGCGTATGCTGCGAATCGGTTCATATCGCGAAGGCAGTTCGTTGGCGATGGTGTGATACTCTGGGCACGCACCAATTTTAGCGCAGGAAGGCGTACAAGAAATGGCAAAGTGAATAATCAATTATTAACATCACACGAGACCAACACGAGGTTGTAACAAGGTTGGCATCCAAGAGGCCATGTGCACGAAAACACCGAGGGAACACCCAGCGAAAACGTGTCAAACAGTGGGAACTCTCTGCCAACAGAGTGCCATGGAACCCCGAGCCTATGGCCTAAGCAGATTGGCACCGCTTGTGCCCCCCGACTCAATGCTTCTTCTGTCCAGACCCCTGTCGATCGGGCGAATCATCACCTACGCCCGGAGGATGCCAAAAGAACCCGGGACAGATGAAGGTATTGGGTAGAGAGATCGGAACGGTTCTTCATGTGAAGGCAATAAAAACAACAACGACGACACTCAGCGGAAAATGGCTCTCACCGCGTACAGTGTTGACGGGTGCAAGCCCACTGGAAAACTCTTCCGAGTACGACTTCAGCGGTAAAGGTTCCAGCTCAGCGAACGCAGAAGTAGGCGGCGGAACCCCACCCTTTCCCGCCAGCAGCGGTGAAACCGTCACCTCGCCGATGAACACCGCCGGCGTGAGGGCAGCCGCTAGCGCCACCGTCGCTAGCGCTTGTCTCGCTAAAGATACGACGGTTTCGGCGGTAGTGGTGGTTGTGACGGCGTTGGTGTCCTGGACGAGCGAAGGTAGCTGGGCGTGGTTTGGTATTCGTCGAAGTGATGGCGGCGGCGCCTGCAGAGGGAATATGTGGGTGAAAATACATGAGAGGAAACGGCAGAAGTAGTATGGAGGAGGGGAGCGATCAAGCGGGGTGGAATACGCTTCCTGAAGCGCACCTTTTGCTCACAGGGAGACACTGGGCGTACCGCCAGACGCCGGACATGCAGCGCGGCACAAACTCGGCACACACACAAGAGGCCGGAGGTACGTTATCTTTCACGAAAACTTGGGAGGCAAACACCATAGGAGATGACACGGAGAAGAACAGTTCCCGGGGCTCATGTTGTCGCCTCGCTGATTTCGTGAATGTGTCGTACATACAGCAGTGCACCGTCCGAACCGCATGTCAAAGGTCGAAGACTGCAAGAAGAAAAATCGTGTGGTTGTTGAAGGCCTTCCTCCTGTGTGACCCGGCAGGTTTGCCAAATCATATGTCTGCCGTGAGGGGTGGACCGGCGTCCAGCGTGGATGGGACAATCACGATCATTTGGGCAGTCTCTCCATGCTCACCGTGAGGCCGAAATTGGGCCGAGGTCATCACTGAGAATCGATCTTCTCATCTAAAGCTGCTGCATCCAACAATACTGTGTGCTGTGACGCTCTTGTGCATACCACTTCACAGTCATGGGGCCCTCCCATAGTGAGAATAGTCCTAGGGATACTCGTCACAGCGGAATCGGGAGGGAGGTGCGGACAATCTGCCAAACGGTACCAAGACAGGGTTGACAATATCACCGCTTGCAGAAGGAATGTCTTGTTAGAAATCGGGCAACATGCTGCAACCACTGGCATCGCCTTCGGCGTGCTAGTACAGGACGGCCTACTACACGCTCATTTCGGTACAGTTACCATCATGTGAATGTGTCGCTGCAATCGGGTTCAAATGACCCATTTTGGGGGGTTTTGTTTCTCCCCGACTAGTACGGTAGGAGTCGTTCTGCCACGCATGGCAAACTACTGTGGTAGGAGTAGTTCTACCACGCATGGCAGAATGTCGAGCATATGGGGTGGCAGTGGTGCCAGGAGCTGCGATACCCACTACTTAACGGGGGCGATGGTCAGGTGGTATACAGCAGAGTCATGTCGATCGATTAATTGCTCTCGCATGTTTTTGTCTAGTCTAGTTTACGGCAGCTTCATGTGTCATCTCAAAACATCCAACATGCTGGGCAGCAAGCATGAAAACCCAAGATAGATGCGTAGCTACCCACCTCATGGTCCTGTTCTTCGTCTTTGTAGTAGCCGCGACTAGTGCTGGTTCTGGAGCTGTAAAAGCGCTGCCGCCGACCGTCGGGTGTCCCTGCAGCCGTCGGCAGTAGGTCAGCGGCAGATCTTGACAACGATGAGGATGTTCGACGCGACGTTGTTGTGTGTGCTGGCCTAACTAACAAACACCATCCAACCAGAGGGTTAGCTGCGCTCACAAGGAGAAACAGGGGGGTCACACCAGCTCGCATCACGTTTTCGATCGGGGGTGCGTCTCGGCGGACGCGTGGTGTGTGTTATGCGCTGTGCACACGCTGCGAACCTGCATGACAGTCCGTGTGGAAGCTCCGCGGTATCTACATGAGTGGTGGATAAATGCCGATCTGTGTACCCCCCAAGCTGACCCCAGGGGACCTTCCAAGAGCGTGTATCTGTCTGGTTTGCCTTCAAGCTCACGCACATGACATAGACAATGTGCCTTGTCGATACCTCGTCAGGCTGATCTCCCATACCTAGTTTTTCACTTGCTACCATTTGGAGATACAGAAAAGTAGGTGTTGCAGCCGCAGTACATCAGTAGAGCATCACTGCCGGTACGACGCAGGACCACACCACAGATCGCTGCTGCACGTAGAGATGCCTGCTGTGGAAAAAAACGGCGGCGGCAGCAAGGCGGACAACAGCCCTCGGGTACTATTCCGCGATGCGGAGGACTTCGAGCGAAAGTGGCAGCGGATAGTGGCAGGCGGCGTCGACCGCTTGCAAATCATATCAGGTACATCAGTACAAGAAAATGGGCGGGGGTGGTACCATGCGTGCTGCAGCAGTATTAGCAGCTCATCCGCAGAATTGTTCTTGTACGTAGACGATGCATAGTCAACGAGTACATGTCCACAGAACGTGCACGTCCGCAGCCAATTCTTTCTTGCTGGCACTCGCTTTTTTTTTTAAACTGCCTCTTTTTGTGTGTTTCCTCAACAAATATCCTGCGTTTTTTCTTGAAGCATTACAATTTGGTTGGAGTGTGCGTGAGTGTGTGCTGGTGCTGGTACAGCCTAAATAGCGGCATCTTTACCGCCGCAGATCCTTCCCGCTGCGTCTCGTGTAGCTGCAAGCTGGTTCTCGGGAATGAATACAACGATATCCAAAACGAAAACCTCACGCCGTTTTTTCGGTTGAGACTCTGAAACTTTGCACACACACATGTGTGTTGGGCAAACCCGAAACGCTGCGTGTAGCCGGCTTTTTTCTAGAAAGTCAACATCTCACAGAAAGATTACCCGTTTGAGATATAACCACAATCGAAAGGGATGTGCGGAAGTCTTTTCAGTGAGTGGAAGGAAACCGGCTGGAAACTGACGCCTTTATTGTTTTCTTCCGCTTCCGCCGGATAGCCAGGGTCTCTCGGATAGATGTACGTCGAGCGCTTGCACCCAAGGACTTGTTAGCAGTCAAGAAAATTGAGCCTCAATCTCCCCCAAACCTAAGAAATTTGGCACCGTTTGTGAGCTCGTTCAAGCACCCGAACACTAAAAGCTAAACCTACAACGCAGCCGTTCGTATCTAGCACCACTTAAAAAAACAACCTCGGCAAAAAACTAGAGGTTCTCAAGTGCAGGCTCTAACTAACTGTGGTCTGTAGCATTTTCTTCTAATGTTTGTCGGTTTTCCTTTCCCTTCGTTGTTTTTTGGGGGCAGGCCTGGGAACCGTAACCGTTCCATGCCAGCCAACAGATGATGAGATGGTACAATTTATTTTTTTGTCTCGAGCGTGGGATTCTTGCTGAGTCGTTCCGTTCTCGGTCTTGTGGGTCACAGGATGTCTCTATTACCCTCCACCGAAAGTATATCACGACATCAGCTGGCGAGTGGAGTAAGAGGCGCTGCACATCTGATTTTAAGTCTGTGGAGCTCTTCGTTGGGCATCCTTCTTCCAAACCTCTATCTGGACCCACATTTCTTCGCGAAACTGGGAAACACTTAGACCGTCTCTGGTTCAGTTTTCTTCCTTCAGTCCCGTGGTGGGTGCTGTGAACTTTGGTCAATGGTAGTCACATGGTAGCCCGTGTATGGATTTTGGCCACTCCGTGTTATGGAAATCATTTTGGGTGTGCATCTATGGTTTGGATATGATAACGGGATCCTATGTCATGGATTCTCATGTGCCACTCTTCATGTCTGTTTTCACGAATATCAAACGCACTTGTTGAGTGTGTACGATCACTCAATCCTACCATCAGCCCCTCAAAGGGGATGGAGTCTGATGGAAATGGGGCCATTGTCAACCCTGGCAAGTATTTTTCATGCGCCATTGTTCGTGATTCAAGAGCCGCGCCAACAACGAACACTACCTGACAAAGGGCGGCGAACTGCTGACGAACTAAGGAGAATACCGACATGGAAAACGAGCGATCCTAAGCTTGTGACCACGTAAATTCGTTTCGAAGAGAACGAAAGGAACGTACTGGATAGAGCCCAGTGTATCGTGATCCATCTGGGTGATGGGTGACGATGCGAAGGCAACAAAAGCACGCATCTCCGCCAGAACCGAGCACCCGCTTCTGCTGTAATTCAATCACTTGGCGCGCACCACAACATTCACCGCTGCCCGCTTCATTTACGCATTGGCTTCTCTGATCACTTCTTTGTAAAGGTAGCCGAACATTCTACCAGCCTGAGAGATGAAGCGCCTCGATTACAAACTGCAACTAAAACCCCAAACCGCACGAAAGGTAGCCCAACAAACAGGGGGTGCTACAATACCCAGCACTTGAGCCACTTTGTCCCGAGCTAACGACAACCCTAAACCAAAAATGGTTTTGGAGGTGGAAAACGCATACCAGGTAGTCGTTAGTGGTCACCATGGGAGGGAGCGAACCGCTGAACTCTCCGCGCAAACGGAAGGCAGACCCCACAGGGAGAAAAAAGTGAAGAAAATTGTCAGTTGCCAACCATCTGGGTGTGCATCATGATCGAAGATCTCCGATGCGCGTACGTCACTCCCGGAAACGCTGCATAGCTAGTGTTTCTCTTTCAGCTCCCGAAGGACCTATCGTGACACCACCAAAAACAACTGTTTGTTCTGCTTGATGGATCAACGGCAAGTTGATCTCTCCCGCATGGGGCATCGCCGTCGTTTTTTTGCGGTCGCACAGACTTCGACTTTACCTTGACGAAGTTTTGGGTGAACGGCAAGAGGGGCGACTCCTGCCACGCCGTGATCGATGGGAGCGGGTTGTTGGGGGAGGGTTTCCACAAGAGAACCTGGGAGCTAAGGAACCACTACTATCCGCTAGAGGTCAGGCGACGCTGTCCATGCACGCAGTAACAACGATTCGCGGACTGTGTGCCCGTGCCCTACGCCAGTACGCCAGAGAGATCCAGTGTAGCGTGGGGAGAGATCCAGTCTAGGTCTGGGAGAGATCCAGTCTAGCTTGGGTAGAGATCCAGCCTAGCTGGGAGAGAGATTCAGTCTAGCTTGGGCAGCGTCTCTGGTAGCTGTACCGAGGCTCGATAGCTGGAGCAAACCTTGTCAGTATCTGTTACTCTGCAGGCGCCGCGAATGCACGCCAGCCTGCCTCTGATGGGGCGTTTTATTTTTGGGGAAGACCTGGCATGGAAGCCTCCCATGAAGAACGAACGGCGACAGCCTCTCTTTCGTGTGTCGTGGTCGTCGTGGTGGTCGTCGTCTTTGTTGCTTGTTGTTGCTTGTTGTTGTTGTTGTTGTTGTTGTTGTTATTTTTGTTGCTGTCGCTGCTGCTGCTTCTGTTATTGTTGCTGCTGCCGTTGCTGCCGTTCTTCAGCTTTTGTCGTGCCGTACTACGAATTAGTCCACGCGTGTACAACGAAACGAGATACCGTCGCGCGTGACACCAGGTGGCTCCGGACCTTTCGCCAGAGATGCGACTGGAGATGATGGTGGAGTGGGTCACCAAAGCTCATGACGTGAGTGCGCCGATTGTCGTTCAACCCCTAAAATATTTAGGTGATCGCCCCCCCGCCCGATTCACTGGCTTTCATGGCAAGTTTTCTGGTACGCCGGGAATCATGAGCCGGCGGGAGGACAGATGCACCTGTCAGTCGTTTCGTCACTTTCGAGGTTGTTCAATCCTGTGTGACGCACGCACCCCTCACCAACACGTATTGCTGTGTCGCTTGAGAGGCGCGTTACCCATGTGTTGGAACACACGCACACATGTAAAAGGCTACTGCACGATGATACTGCTTTACCACCGTCACCGGCTTCGCGACCGATGGAAAGACCGATTCTGGAGACCACTGGAACCCCCCCCCAAAAAAATCGTTTTCTCAAGCAGTACGGCGACGCTAGTCGGTCTACTATCGACAGGTTGACAATTGCAGATCAAAACATGGTCTGGAAAGTCACAACTGCAAAAAATGATAGGTTTGGTGTGTTCTGTTTTGTTATTTGCTCAAGTAGTTTTCAGTTTTGGGGATGCAATATTGTAAATCATACGTGAAATGCCGTCAAAGTGACTCTTTGAGCGCGACTGCGCTGCTCTGTGCGGCGTGTTTGCAGGCGATGGTGGCGGCTGGCATAACCAAGGACATACTGTCGGCCGCGGTGTCGAAGGCCAACCTCCTCTTTAGGCCCGGCCACGGCGAGCTCCTCCGCTGGGTGGACAAGCACGGGGTCCCGTTCCTCATGTTCAGCGCAGGCATCGCTGGTGAGCCTGGGGGTTGTACTCATACCTGTGCATGCGGTAGTCGTTAGTTCATTTACCTCCTATCCCTCCAAAACCGGGACGGAGCACGCCGGGTTTTCACCGGACCAGGCTAGCACATCACCAAGCATGGGGGGCATACTCATGTTTTGCATGCCTTGAGCGGTTAGAACATCGACCACGCATCCTCCAGAAGCGGCGAACATTTTTCCCACTAGGACCGATCACGGATAACCAATCGTTCTTTCCTACTTTGCTAAAAGTGGCTCCTAAATTATTTTCCAACCCTGTCTATCCTATGGATATCAGTCCCGCCCTTTCAGCCCACTACTATGCCGTTCCATTTTGCATGAACTTCGCCAAGCCTGGTTCTGAGTGTGTGAGGTAATGGGATGCTACAGCCAGTGTTATGCAGGGAGCGGCAAGGGCAACGGTTGTTCGTTATTCTTTTGTTTGCGACTACACTGATGTTGATGTTGGTTGCACAAGACACCCTCTTCCTCCCGCTTCTCCACACAGCGACATCCCTCAGAAACCGCTACAGCTCGGACACAGGAGCAACAAGCGCTAAGAATCGCTATCCTCCCTGCTTGTAGGTTTTTTCCAGAGCGTTAGTCTAGCAGGATTTCTGGACGGAGAGCCACGTGAAAGGCACAACTTGTCAAGAATCTCCCTAGATGTTGTGCGTTGTCTGGATATTTGAGTACTGGTGCACGTGGTGTACACAAGCGCAGCTGCCGGCGGCCAAAATCGGTCGACCTTGGTAAGGGTAGATTTATGGCAGGCTGAAGTTGCTACTACCACAGACCACGTGCTTGCAATCGTGTGGACGACTGGCTTTTGTTTCATCGGGCGTGAACAGCATGTATTTTCTGGTGCCATGTGCGTGTAGCGCTCAGAGAGCGGGAGTACAGCATATTCACGCAGGCACGGGTATGATGAACCCACCCAACAAAGAGCGGCTGTTTTCAATGGTCTTTCGGTATTCCTACAGCACTCGCAAAGCTTCAAGGATGGGCTCAAAGTGCTTGCCCCATTCCGCAAAGCATGCGCAAATGACGTGGCTAGGTTGACACTGTTGCTTACAGTCGGGGCTCCGATGTAAGGGGGTACCTAATAAGAGGAGTCTCCGACAAAAGATGGTTGAAATCTGTTGTCGCAGACTCGGCCCGCTACAGTATACTTGGGTACCGTCTTACTCTGGAAAAAGAGGGGGCTCCGATCTCAAAGAGCACCTTATCAGACGGTCGAAATCGGTGGTCACGGACTCGACCCGCTATAGTGTACTTCTTGGGTACCCTCTTATTTCGGTACAAGACGGGACTCCGACATAAGAGGGCTGAGGGCCTTCGTCACCCCCCATCTACATCGGAGCCCCCACTGTACCAGGTAGTGTCTAGCGCGTTGCCATTTCGTTGTTCCCCGGTGATTGGTCGACTCCACCGACGCGTTGCTGCTGTGTCCCGGTCTTGCTTTTTGCGGGTCGAGGTCACCAGCTTTGGCTTTGAATTCCCGTACCCATGGTACTGCCCCTCCCTTTCCGTCTCTCATTCGGGGATTGGTTTCCACCAGACGTCCTAGAGGAAGCATTTCGACAGCATTCGGCGGAGCCCCTGCCGTCCACGAGCCGCGTAATCTCCAACAGGATGGCTTTCGATGAGGTGAGAATCGGCATCAGCACGAGCCCTCGCTTGAACACATTCCTTGTGGGACGACTTCTGGGTTCGTGAGTTTGTGGTGGTCCCTGTAGAAAGGCCGCATTTTTATGGCTAATCGTCCTGGGTAAGGCAGGTGATATCGCTTGACATGGATGGAGTATGCAAGTGCCTTTTGTCATTATCAGAATAGTTCGTGGTGCCTGATATATGGCCTACGGGAAAACCCTTGTCGTTCCTCGTTGGTTCTATACAGGGACCGTTGCAATAAGTATAATACCATGTTCTTGAGGGGGCATCGGACTGTTCTGTTGCCAACCCGCGTACACTCTCCGCTCTCTGTCGCGGGTTCTCTTGCTTGCTTGTTTTGGAAACCCGTGAGCTGCTCCTCGCACCTCTTACAGCCTGATGGTGTGTCTCCGTTTGCGTAGCCCCCTAGAAGTCCCTTTTTTTTTGTACAACATATACATACAAGTAGGAAAATCGGCTAGTATACCCGTTGAAGATCATACCATAATGTTGGAGTTCAAGTTGGCCTCGACTTGCTTGGTCGGGCGCGACTTGCCTCGGTTGCTATCGCCAAGTCGCCTTCGCGCGTTTTATTTTTTTGGTCAAGGGATACTTTGTAGGTCAATTTTGTTTTTCGTTATAAGCAAACCTTTACTTTGATTTATTTCTAGACAATGTGCCCCTTTCTTGGGTAGTTGGTCTGTGACCACGGAAGGCGTCCGCGTCAGTTGGAATAGTACAGATAAAGTGCTGAGCGGAGACCGGAAAGTTTGTTAAGTATGAGGACAATAGCAGCAACAACAACAACGACAACAACAGCAACAACAACGACAACAACAGTAACAACAACGACAGCAACTATGCAAATGCCATGGTGGCCGGTTTGAGTCAGCCCTTGGTTCGCCACAGAAGCATCGTTGCTTCCCGCACGTGCGCCATCGGCTCATGATCGTTGCTAGCGTTGCCGGTATGGCATATTGCTTCGTCTCGAAGGGGGTGATGTTCGCCCTTGGTGTAGTACTGATCCCCCCCCCCCCTTGATTCTCCTGTAGCCTGGGTTTCCGCTCCGTCCCGACGTTGTAGGGATGCGAGGTCTATGGTCCAACGACTACGGCATGACATAAGTACCCCCCCCCCCCCCCCCCCCCCCCCCCCCCCCCCCCC